TCGAATATAATTTCCAAAAAAAAAAACATATTTGACAACTATTAGCTGTCGATTATATAGCTTTAATCGACAGCTAATGGCTATCAAATATAACCTTCAAAAATTAGAAAATCTTTGTCGTCAGCGAATTTCTGTCAATTAAATTAGTATATTCGACAGAAATTTTGGCTGTCGAATATACTCATTATTGACTGCATTTTATACGACATACATGGCTGTCAATTATATCTGTCGATTAAGACATAATCAACAGAAATACCTCTATATTCGACGGAATTTTCTGTCAAATATACCTTATTTTTCAGTAGTGTCAATTACAATTTTATACTATTTTAATGTATCCAAATATTGAATTTTAATACATATATTTAAAATATACACTTTAAATATAAATATGAGTTCCCAAACACAATCAAAATAAGGGTCTGTTTGAGAACGTAAGTTTGAGAGGAGAGTTTGAATTTGAGGTTTCTAAATTCAAATTCACTATTTGTTTTTATATAATAAGAGTGTATTTGAATTTTGATCTAAATACACATATTTTAACTTGTGTATTTTAATAACTAAAAAGCGTTCATTTTAAATACCCTCTCATACCAATGAATTTTATATTGGATCTCAAATTCTTTGTTTTTCCTTTACATCTTCCTCTATTGCAATAAGATTAGCTTCTTTGCAATGAAGCTCCAACAATGTAAGGGATGCCAAGTCACTCATCAAGAGGTAGTTTATTGGTGGTGATATCAAGACATCTGTGAACTTGCATTTTATGATTTGATGACTTGAGAGTGAGCAAAGTGGGTAGTGACCAAGTCAAGGGAAAGGCAGGACTTTTTGCTGCTGGTAGCAACCATGATGACAACAAACTTGTATTTTTTATTTTCTAGCTGTGGGCAATGGCGATGGGGTACTAAAGTTTATACAAGGCCATCGTGGGCGGTGATAAAATGCCTACTAAGATTGTTTACCATGTATTTGTAAAAATACCTCAATGAAAGGGGATAACATCAAATCAATTTTCATTTTATAATAGTTTAATTTATCCAAACTATGTATTTTACTAAGTATTTAAAATGTGTATTTAAAAGACATGTATTTTAAATATATATATTTAAAATACACACATTAAATTCAAATTTAGATTCCTAAACATAACCTTAATGATATTTATGTGCAATTTGTCCTAAATTCAAATATGTAAGGAGTAAGAGCATGTACAATAGAAGCAATAAAAAACCTCATTTTAATGTGACATCATTACAATTACCACTATTTTATATAACTTTCAAGTATAACACCTGATTGAACACCTCCTTTTTAATGCACAAGGCGGAGGGAAGGGTGCCAGACTGCCAGGGTGCTGCTGCCCCCTCAACTTTTAAAAATTTGTAAATTTAGTACATATAATTTTTCCTTCTTAAAATTTTCAAATATTACATCTATCATGTAAAACTTTACATAATTTTCATTTAAATCTCCATAATTTTTATAATTTTTCATACTTAACAATTCAATACTAATATAATTTATAATATTTTTATCATAACTACCATTTCAAATATGAAGAGAATTTAATTAAATATTTTACAAAAGATGAGAATATTAGAACCTAAATAGATGAATTTCCTACATATTAAACAAATTAGAAATTGAGACTCTTAATTAAACCCAAGCTCAAAGATCTTCTCCCTTTAAGTTTTTGAATTGTTTTAGGATTTTATTTATTTAATTTTAATAATTTATATTAGAAGGTGATTTGATTAATCAAAACTTTTGTTGATAAAAAAGTTTAATTTTTTATTTAGTTAATAATTTAAATTTTTAAGTACTAAATTATATATTCCTTCTTTTATGTTGTTTAGTTCTTTGGAATGGAAAAAGATAATTTTTAATAGATAAATCAAGAAAAAAAGGGAGAAATTTTGGGATTGAAAGAATAAGATTTTGAAATTATTTAAATTAGTTAAACCATTATTCAAATTTTAGCATAATGAAGTATTATTTCTTATTTTAATAAAGATATTCGTTTAATAAAAAATTAAAAGAAATATGAAATGAAGAAAATACGTTATTTTTTAAATTTTGTTAAGATTTTAGAAAATATCAATAGACAAATTTAAATTAAATTTTTTCAAAGAAAATTAACTAGTGTTAGTATAAAAAAATACTCAAGGCACAAAGTTGCCAACAAAAAATTTCACCTCCCTCAATCAATTTTTTGACTCTGCCCCTATCAATTCATATATATATATATATAGATATTGAACAACTTTGCAAGAAACCAAATTCGAACCATTACTTAAAAAGGGAAATGCACTTTAAACGTGACTTGATACCACTAGATTCGAAAACTTAAGTGCTATCAATTCATATATTTAAAATAGAACATTTATAAAAATTATATCGATATTATTTTATTTACTCTATTTTAAATAAAAAAATTAAATTCAAAAACTTTTTAATTGATCCAACGGCAAAAACAAAACTAGTGCACTGCCTGACAGCACATCATCATAACCACTTTTTTTTTTTTTTTT